TCTCACTGGCCCTGGGTTCAGGGTGTGCTTCTCTCACTGGCCCTGGGTTCAGGGTGATGCTGTAGCACTTCTGCCCTGTGATGTCAGCGTTCCATATGCGAGGCTTCCTCCTGGCACCAAGGGTCAGGTTCACAAAGGCAATCCCACGTCTGCAGTTAACGGTCGGCAGTGTGGGGTCAGCCTCCTGGCCACCATCTTGGGATTCATTGACTGACACCCAATCGCTTCCTCCTCCCAGGACTGGAAACTTCCAGGCAGTGGGTGGAGAACTGCATCGACTGCCGCTGTGCCTGTCAATCAATGTCCTGACCACACCTGCAACTTCCGGTCCCTCAGTGTGACCTCAGCCTGCAGCCTGCCATCTTGGGGTTCACTGACTGACCAGAAACTTCGCCTGTCCATCATGGCCTTGAGGGCGGGACAATGTCCGGACGCACTGGACACCCCAGGTCTAGCCTTCACACCAGAGTCTAGCCTCGGCTCCCTCCCATGACATCTCTCACCATGTCACCAGCACTCCCTCCGCCCCTCCTGGAGGACTGTGCAGGCTCTGGTCCAAGGCTCTGGGGCGGGGCTAACCTGAGCTCACCAGAGCCCACATCACGGCCGACCCGACGCCCGGACACGGAGGCCTCCCTACTGGGTCTCACTGGCCCCACTGGCCCGCCAAGCTCCGTGGGTCCAACAGGCCTGGTGCCCCACACTCCGTCACATCCGGCCTTGCTGGCCCAGACCAGAAGTCCAGAGCCACCTGTCAATCACCTGCTGCCCATGGCCTCAGCTTCCCTTTCTGCTGTCAATCAACCCCCTAGCCAGCCGGACTGAGTGGGTCACATGACCCCCGGGGACCCTTCCTGGGAGGCCCCCGGGTGTCCAGCTTGCCCGGGCTGTGAGCTCTGAGTCATCCCCCTGTCTCGCTTGGAATCATGGGAGTGTATGATGTCACAGACACACCCAGACCCAGGTGACAGGATGACCTCACAGACACGCCCACCAAGGTGACTGACAGGATGACATCACAGACACGCCCACCCCAGGTGACTGACGTGGTGACATCACAAAAGACACCCTCATGTCGCGCACATGACATCCTGGTCAGCCCCTCCCGTCCCAACTGTGCCCCTCACAGGCCGCAGGCCCGACACGTGACAGTGACGTCATGCTGACGTTAATTTCTGATTTAATAAAGCCACAAACGAGAGAAAAACAGCTCTAGATTCAAAACTACTTCCGGGTGTGGTGGCGCTGCCCACGTGTTCCTGCAGTGTGGGCAGAACTTCCTGCTGACGTCACAGCCTAGTCGGCCTCCTCGGTCTGCAGCAGTAAGTCCTTCCTGAGGGTCTGGGGGGAGCAGAGGGCGGGGCTAGGGGTCAGCCGGGGTCAGGGGGTCAACCAGGGTAAAAGGGGTCAGGGGCAGTCAGCTGGGGTCAACCAGGGTCAGTGTGGGTCACCCAGGGTCAGGGGGGTCAACTGGGGTTGTGGAGGTCAGTTGGGGTCAAATCGAGTCAGAGAGATTAAAAGGGGTCAGTGGGGGGCAATGAAGGTCAGCTGGGGTCAACTGGGGTCAGCAGGGGTCAACCGGGTCCATAGGGGTTAGCAGGGTCAACTGGGGTTAACCAGAGTCAGTGGGAGTCAGAGGAGGTCAACAGGGTTCATGGGGGTCAACTGGGGTCACTGGGGGTCATCCTGAGTCCAGCAGGGAGGGAACTCAGGGTTTCCCGAGTGGGCACGGCTGTGGGCGTGTCCAACATTTGAATGACAGGAGCGCCAGCCTCCCCCACCCCCACCCCGCAGGCGTAACCTCTGACCTCCGGGTTGACTCTGTCATCATCGGTGATTTTGTCCTTGATTTCCGGGATCTGGGGGAAAAGTTCCTGGATCCTGATGAACCTACGGAGTCAGGGGTCAGAGGTCAGGGGTCAGAGGTTGACTTGGAACTTTAAGGTCAGGCAGGAGTAAGCAGGGCACGCTGGGCGTCTCGCCCATCACTCATGCCCCTTAGACCCGCCCCCTCGCCCATCCATCACCAGTCACGTGTCCACAGGCGCCATCGTGGTCATGCCCCGGCCTCTGCTTACCTCTTGCACGCCAGCCCGAGGCCCAGGCCGCACAGTAGGGTCACAGTCACCACCGTCAGGTACACGTGCAGCGTGGGGACCCCGGGGTCCTCAGAGCCTGCGAGTGGGAGGGGCTTAGACCGGAGATGGCCGGGGTCAAGGGCAGTGTCTCAGGAAGGGTGGACGCGCGCGCATGCGCTCACCGAAGGCCACGCCGGGGCTCCACGCGCTCCAGCGGGCGCTGCGCACGTCCCCGGCACGCACGCTGACCACGTGACCCGGCCTGGGCACGGGGCTCGGGAACTCGTATCTGTTTTCCGCCTCACTGGAGATGCACACCTGTGGGGGACGGGGGTGGGGGCCTGCGTGTGACCCCGGGACGAGGAGGGGGCCGCGGGCCGGGGTCAGCTGTGGATATCGCTCTATATAAATAAAACACTGATGGCCAGTGACCAGACAGGAAGTATAGGCGGGACAAGGAGAGAGGAGAATTGGGGAAACAGGAAGAAGGAGGGAGAGACACTGCAGCCACCGCCAGGAGAAGAGCATGTAAAGACGCCGGTAAGCCACCAGCCACGTGGCAAGCTATAGATTTATAAAAA